AACAACACATACCCCGGATAGTGCACGTTTTTAGACATATACATTGATGGCATGGCCCATGTATCCTTTCACGCCTTTTATTTTCCTGCTCTTTATTTCTACCTCCAGGCCAACACACTCATTTTATTGCTTGGCTGGCTGGCTGGCTGGCTGGCTTTCTTCTTTCTTTCTTTCTTTCTTTCTTTCTTTCTTTCTTTCTTTCTTTCTTTCTTTCTTTCTTTTGACAGAATCAGGGATTGAACTCAGGCCCTTGAGCCCACTGAGCCATCTCCCTGGCCCTGCTTAGTTCTTTTTGTCATTTTCACATTTTTTTGAATGCTTTTTCAAATCCTTCCGGGAAAGAATTTCATGAACAGCAATTTAGAAAACAAGCAAGTTCTATCTTTCTTTCTTTCCTGGTTTCTCCTCTTTTCTTTTTGGATGATTTGTTTTCTTGCAGTACTAGGGACTTAATCCAGGACCCCACACTGAGCTACATGTCCAACTTGCTTCCCCTTTTACTTTGAGAAAAATCTTGCCACATTACTAAGTTATCAAAGCTGGTTCCTAAATGCGATCCGAGCGCCTCAGCCTCCCTGACTCCTGGCATTACAGATGCGCACTACCGCATCTTGCAGCAAGTAATTTATTTCAGCATAACTTGAACATGAAGACCAATCTTAAAATACTAAGTCTAATTATAATCAGAGGCAAGGAGATGCCAACTGTGTGCTTCTGATAGACCCTGGCCCACTCTTACTTCCTGTGTCCGGGAGCGCACAGAATGCCGAGTGGTGTTCCACGTGTTCAGCTTGTGTTGTACTAGCCAGGAGTACACATCCCGTGACCAACGCGCTCGGTTCTACCAAGAAGATGGGTAAGTCAGGCTTGACCTCAGGAGGAAAGAAAGTAGAGGATGCAGGGCTGGCCAGATAACTCAGAGGACCAAAATGCCTGCTTAGGCAGACACAGGGGCCGGGGGTTCAACCTCCACAGCGTGCTGTGCTGACCCCACCCCTGGGGTGCGCTGAGACTGTGACTGAGACAGAATGTAGTGGCGAGAACCTGTAACCCCAGTGCTTGGAAGGCGGAAAACAGAAGAATCACTACAAGTCTGATTTGTGGAGTGAGACCCTTGTAGACCCTGTACTAAATACATTTTAAAAAAAGAAAGTAGATGATGCTTTCTCAAACTACTTTGTGTGCTTGTGTGAGTGCACGCTTATGTTTGAGAGACAATAAACTCATCTTGGCCAGTGTTTTCTTTCTGATTCAACCTAAAGGCTTTATTTTACGTTACCTCATTTTATTTGTAGCAAGTATTATATTTGATTTTCCACGCTCCCTGCAGTATGTTTCCTCTATGGAACAAGAACAATAAAATTGTTTACACCTCTGGCCACTACAGCAGTAATAAGTAAAACCGTCTGCATGATTAACTTGGACTTTTCCATCTTTTTCTACTAAACATATGATTCTTAGGAAGCCATTCAAATGGTCGAAGTTCTCATGTTTGCAACTTTTAACAATTCAACAAAGTCCTCATTCTCTAACAATTCTTTCTATTTTCTTCTCAGGGCTCTAATGAAATTTGTATTGAGTATCCTTGCTTTATTCTTCATATCTGCCTGCTTTTTAAACAATATTTCAACATCTTTGCCTGCATTTCAGAAGCAGCTATCAATGAAAATTTGATGACTATGTCAACCTTTCTCTCTTTTTTTTGGCAGAACCGGGGATTGAACTCAGGCCCTTCTGCTTGCCAGGGAAGCCCTTATTCCACTGAGCCATCTCCCTGGCCCCTTCGCTCAAGTACTGTCTGCAATTAAAATCATCAACATAACAAGGAGCACTGCGTGCAGAGCGAGGGCAGGAGCTTGGAGCTGGGGAAGCGGCTCAGTGGCGGAGCATTGCCCTAGGTGTGAAGCCACGGATTCAGCTCCCAGAACTGAGGGGCGAGGAGAGAAGACAGTGAAAAAGACTTTCTGTGAGAAATACCACATTCCCAGTTTCCTTCAGTCT